AGCAGCCACATCGAGCGTCTACTTTGCTGTGGTTAAGGTAGGTGATATGTCGAAGTAGTCCTGGAAAAGGATTTTGCATTTCATAAGTGTGAAGCACATGTCCAGTATGCAAGGTTTGATGCCATTATGTTCGACAGCAAACACACACACGAGTCGTGGGGTTTGTGCACTCTAACCTAACCAGCTGATCACTTGGCCCAGTATCCACCTTGAAGGAATTAGGTTTGTGTAATTAGAGTCCATTCAATCGCGAAGTTGAAGAGGAAGGGAAGAAAGATGCGTGGACGGTTCGTTGTCAGTGTTCTGGAGGAATGGGAAGAGAGGATCATGCAGTTGTGCTAAAAAGTGTTTTTTTTTACTGAAAGCAGTTTATTCGATATGTCCTTCTGAAGTGATGTGACCTACATTAGCGAAGACTAGGGTACATCAATTTCCCAGTTGTCCGTTTATGCAATGACTTCAATAATTTCCAACCAAGTGGAAGGTAAACCAAAGTTTTCTAGTGGTATCATACGTACCGTCGTTGGGGACGTTTATGTAGCGTCTGACGCAACACTGTCAGAGATAAACAAAAGTGTCGATCTCCTTGTCAAGAAATCGCAACCGGAGTTGGACCGTTCTATCTGCACTATCGCTGGTCACTTTAATAGGAGTGACACAGATTCCAGTAAAATGCAGGGTATAAGCAACCTAATGAAATTTCCCACCAAGATTCGACGCAGATCTGGATTTAGCTTTTACTAATAAACACAACGTGTGTTAACAATACGGACCAATGCATCGCGAAGCAATACTCCAAGAAAACTATGCAATTTAGAACTGTTAAGCGGTGAAACTATTCAAAGGAAAACATTGCGCTATATTCAACCGACACTTAGATTGCGCCAATGAGAAGCAGTCAACTCAATGCGAGCACCTTACAGATAGCATTAATTTCTGCTTCAATATGTATTGCCGCATTGAGATCATCTATCTTCGGATTGAGATTTCATCCCCACCGCTCAAGTAAATGCGTAGAATAAAGCACATGTCTATGGATATATGCTAACTGACCGTATCAAATGTCTGTCTGTTTATAAAACGAGAAAAGGTCAAGCAGCTTATATATTAAAGCAGTGTTAGGAAACCACAGTTGCCGTGAACTGTGAAGGATCTTGAAGCAACTCACCGGAAAAATTGCAGTAGTCCAATTGGTACTGTGGATGTGGGCAAACCATAGAACACATTCCCTCTGCCTTCCTACCTCATCACTGATCCAACCCGTGATTTGACCAGATCAGTGTTTACAAGGAGCTCACAAGACTGAAATCAAACAAAGCTAGTGACACTGATTTCCCGTCACCAATCGCTCTATGTACGGATACGTTACAGACATCTCTGACAGCGATTTGCAACCGATGTTTAACGATTGGTAGCATCCCTGATAGCTATGAAGTAGCTAGAATGACAACTGCGCTTAGGAAGGAATCACAGAAATATCGACCAATAGCTTGTAACTCAGGTGTTTGAAAAACTACTTATTCTTCGCATTTGCACAAGTGACCATACACATGATACTAAAAAGTTTGCCTACAAGGCAGTGCACTCTACACTGGATGCCGTTTCGTATCCTGTGCATTCCATTGCATTTGCTTTAGATAAAACATGCAGGGGTGTGCAGCTCTTGCTCCTCGATTATAACGATGCTTTTGGGAGTTTTGACGGATCGTTACTACCGAACCGTTTGGTCGAAAACGGCGTCCCCCCCCCAATGTATGTAATGTAATGCGTGACTGCTTTGCAAATCACACACACTTTACGCAGTTACGTAGTAAGTCATGCGTAATACCAGAAAATTGTGGGGTTTCGCAAGGAGAATTTTTAAATCGCCCTTTCTGTTTTCCTTATCCTTTTAATATCTGCCTATACGATCCAGTTTCATTGGATGTAAATAAGTTGATGACGTCGTCCTAGGATAGGTAATCCAAGTTAATTGTGGTGTCTTTGTTATACCACATTCGCTTTTCTCCGCACCGACAAAATGCATTTCCCTTTAAATGTCTGTCATCCTTCAGTCGTGAGTGATCAAAGTATCCCTCGCTTATATTCCGTAAAGTACTTTTTGTCTTACAATTTATCCTAGTCGACACATAATGCTGAAACATGTTACAATGTAGATTTTACTCCCTCATGCTCAAAACGCTCTCCGCACTGCGTGTTCTGATTCTAAGGTTTATAAATGTATGTATTATCTCACGGTGGTTATACTGTTTTATTAGGTTCCATGAACTTTAAAAAGTCTATACTCTTCTTGTGTGTTCACCAAAAGCTAGTTCCCAATGTTCTATAGTATTGTTGTTGACTTTACGCTTAGCAAGAGTATAAACGACCCTTTTCACCCCCACACAATGTTCCAGGCAGTACGGTATCTACTTCTTTTACTGCCTCGTACCTCTTCGTATTGCAACTTCATCTTGTTCTACTCGTCTCGCTTGCTAATCGACCCAAAAGTAATGATGCAGCGATTGCGAGACCGTTTCCTTATTATTTTATTATTATCACTTTGCATTATTTTCTCCACTGGTGATATGCTGCAGTATGTCCGCAGCGTTAGTGTAAATTGCTGAAAATAAGTCAGAAAGGAAAGTCATCCGCAGTACGCCGGTACACAGTACCGACACTTCGCTAGCACGCGACCACCATCGGCCGCGTCCGGGCTGAGTATACCGCGAGAACGCATGCCCCTACGCGGATTCAAATCAAGCCAGGCGTGCAATTCTTTCGGCCACTAGCTGACAGAATTGCTGGAAATGCTCCCCCACAGGAGTGTATAGATTATCTTGACTTGACTGGAGACGTGAGAAGCAGAGTCGAAGGCAGGTTTTAACTCAGAAGACTACCACGGTACATCATGTGTGAAAACACAGCATCATTCAGGCAAGTGGTAGAGTGCAAAATATGAGTGCTGCAACATTGTGGACAGAAAAGCAAGGATTGCGTTTCCTCAAGGATCAGTGGGCGTTGAAGCGTTGTCCGCGAGCTACTTGGAGGAAATGGCAAAAAGGATAGTGCACAACATACTGGAGCATTCTTGAGAGAAGTGACAGCTGATAACTCCACCCTCAAAGAGACCGCCTCAGTGTTCCATAGACTTGTATACAGTGACTACACCAATCGGAAGCAAATTGTTATATCTGGGAGAATTAATCCGGTTCACTATGAAACATCTCCAGTTTAACTAGCTCATGGGGATAAGCGATCCATTCTATACAATGCTGACAATAAAGGGTAGGGGGAAATAGAAGCTCTGAGAGCCGATTTCTTAGGAACAACTTGGCCGGGAGGGAACTGGTTGCTCCAGGGTTCAAAACACGCAATCCCACTTAAGCTGTCACTAGCTTGTCGTTAAGAAGGCAGTAAACGAGGAAGGATCGACCATGGCCCGAAACCTGAAACAGAGATGCGGAAGATAGCAAAGAAGCCTTTTGGAGCTTCAAAGAACAATACGATCCATTCTTGCAGGTAGTGTAATAAGGCATAACATCTGTTGTATGTGCAAAGCAGCGGTACGATCAGCCGTAAACAACTTGTCCCCTGTCAAGCTCACTACTTCACCGGCTCAGAAGCACCTAACAGTTATGTGAGCTTCGGAAGAAGAAGTAAATGGTTGTACAGCGGTCCGAAATCAGACAGGCAGCGTCATACTAAAAGCTATCTGTGTTTATGGGAGTTATACTGGTTCATCGCTGACCGACATTATTCGGTATTTGGTGTTAGTTTTGACTACAAAAAGTGTCACACAAAAAACTAGTGAGCAGCGTACAATCACAAGCAACACTTACAGCCGCGAATGCACTTGAGAGCGAGCCGAAGCACGGTGTCTGGCAGAGTTTCTTAAGGTGACGCTGTTGCGTGGATAAACTCTCGGTAACGGAGCTGAAATGTTGCATTAATGGATCAGACGCATTTTCGTCGAATACAAATACGGTGGCAACTAGGCTCAAACGAAGTTAAGGACAAATCTAATCGAATGGGTTGCGAGTGGACTAGCAGTCAAGTGGATGAGTCCAAAGGTGCAGCTTAAGCTGCGGAGTGGGATTAAGTGGCGGTGGGAACTTAGCAGCTCATAATCATTAAGACCGAGTACAAACTTGAGTCCGTCGTGTAATGACGAATAACGAGAGTTTAAGTGACTAACCGGATCTCTGTTCGGTACGGCTCGGAAGGTCAACAGAACGGGCGAATCGTGTTAATGAGGTCCGCTCTTAAAGACCGGTTAAAAAATATGTCGTTGGCGCACTGTAATTTCAAACGGGAATAGCCGCTGTGTCTCGGTCGCAACTTGACATTGAAACCGGTACTATGATGTATGCTCAGTTAAAACACAACCAAACGCGATCACTGGCATGACCAAGCGACCAGGTATAATCCTGATGTTGCTGATCCCTTACATAGCACAAAACAGGTTTCGAATTAGTTTAAAGTAATCAGGAAAATATGGTTAAACTGAAGCTAGAACGCATGAACTAGTGTTGGGCAGTAGGCTTACACGGTTTAGCAGAGATTTCCCTAGACGAGCAAAATCGAACGGAATGCCCTAACTTCAAAGGCGTGATGGCCTTCGGTGAATCAGTTGTTGCGCAAAAATACGAGGTAAATCCCAAACATTTGTAAGTGCACCACTGAAGTGGTTCAATCATTTGGACGATCAAACCGGTGACGAAACGAGCTCACGTGACGCCGGTACGTCGCACCGGTGCAACTGTACCATGCGACCGCCAGCGACCGCGTACGATTTAACGATACTGAGCGGCTGTCTGCACCTACGCAACCTCAAACCGGTGATCTGTAGATTGCAAGTCAGACACTTGAATCAGGGCCGTCGATTGCCTCAGCTACTAGTAAAGTCCCCATCTAATTGGAGAGTCGACAGAGATGTACTCAAAAAAGTGAAACAGAGAGACGGAAGAAGACAGTGGAGACGTTTAGTGTGTCGCAAAATCAAAATGACAGAGACCTACCAGGCGAAGGGAATACGTTGTTCAAGCTTCCCCATGTATGCAGCACGAGGGAAATCATGGCCTTCGTCGATCGGAGTAAGTTGTTCCGGTGGTAGACACGTTATGGTCCGAGCAAGGCCGAAATCCCCAATCTTCACTTGTGGATATTCATTGCGTCGTACAGCTGCCAGAAGAATGTTTCGCGCGGCCAAATCACGATGGACTAAGCCACGAGCGCTCAGGTAAGCCATTCCACGAGCAATCTGAACTCCCATATCCCATAGAGAGTCTACTTGCAGGGCGGTTGGCACCGACGGAAGCCGACCAGAAGCCCTTTCAGCGTTGGCACATATGGAGTGTGCTCGCAGATGGAGGAGCAGGCTGCCGAGTGGAGCAAGCTCGGTGACCTGAGGTGAAGAGAAGCGGTGATGCGGAGACAGGATGTAAGAAGTGAAGAGGTGGTTAGCCAATGTGTGATAAGCGTGAGGTAAGCAAATGGAATCCTCACCAGCATCGTTGGGTTAGAAAGGACCACACCATAGAGGCGGATTAGGTTGGGATGAGAAAGACATTGCATTGCACGAAGTTCGTCCAGAAAACTAGCAAAATGATCTCCAGCCATCGCCTCTGGCCGAAGCAACTTTACAGCAACAGGGACCTGAGACAAGATGGGGGTTGGAATAGCAAGAGGAAGGTGTGAGAGGTAAAACATACAGTGGCATAGTAAATGACACAAAACATCACGGCAAGTAACTGTGTCGAGACGGATTGAAAATGGTTAAATAATTGTGTGAGTTCGAAAAATGTACTAAATCGGATGTGTGTATGTTAAAGGAAAAAAAACTACAAAGCTGAATGCAGTGAAAAAAGAAACTTATTTAAAGTTCCAAGCGCCTAGCTCGATTGGCGACAAAGAAGCCATCTTAGTCCCCTATCAAGCAAGTCTACCAGGATACCCTGAGTACCGAACCTCTCATCTCTCGTCATGCACGATGCAGAAACATTTGCTTGCGGCAATATCCATCGTCACCGCACCAGTCACTGGATATTTGAGAGGACGACGAAGCTGTTGGAATCCAGAACGAAACTCCCCACTGGCTCCGAGCCCAAATGTAACTAGGAGGATGATTAGGCGCCAATTAAAGCGGAATCCGCGTGCTGACAAGGAAGCCTCGTGGACCAGTCGGGTTTAAAAAATGAAGGAGGCAGGAGCAGTAGGCAATTATCGCAAGCTCTTCCAGCTAATCCGCACCAGTGGTCCCAGGAAACCAGGAGTCAGCAAGACAAGCAGGGACAACGCAGGTGCTCTGGTTAACAGATTGGAGGGTCGTTTGGCTCGTTGGGCGGAACATTTTCGAGATCAGTTCAGTTGTCCCCCTGCTTCTAGACCACTTCCTATTCAGCTGTTGCAGACTGAGCCATGGACGATTAGTTTAGAGGCTCCGTCAGAGGCTGAGGTTCGAAACGCGATCGCAGCCCTCAATCGTTTTCTGGGTGCTGGCCCGAATTCCCTCCCACCTACACTATTTAAGGATGGATGATGTCCTCTGCAAAGCACTAACCTCCCTGTTCGAAAAGGTCCGGAAAGCAGAAGACATCCAGCTAACTGGAATGAGCCGATTTTAGTGGCAATGTACAAGTAAGGCAATCGAACCGACTGTACTAACCACAGGGGTATTAGCCTAACACCCGTAGTGACAAAATTACTGACATCAATTCTCGTTCGTGGCTTCATTGAGGAAGAAGAATCACGGATTAGGGCATAGTAAGCAGGCTTCCGCCCAAAACGAGGCTGTATGGACCACAGAATCACTATGTGGCAAGTTCTAGAACAGCGTCACACATACCGCAGACTGACAATACCTGTGTCCCTCGACTTCCAGAGTGCGTTTGACTCGGCCGATCGATGCATTATTTTCGAAATACGTATGCGGGAAGGTGTTTCCATGAAATATGTGATTCTACGTGCCCTCTACTCGAACGCGACAGGGCGCGTCAGGGTCTACGGTGACTTGTCAGATGTCTTTCCGACAACAAGTGGCGTTCGCGAGGATTGTCCGATTTCCTCATTTTTGTTCAACTTCGTCGTCGACTACATCATAGAGTGCGCCCTATCAGATCCTCATGATGCAGGTGTCGAGGTGCTGCCTGATGGAAGGCTTATAGATCTTGATTATGCGGACGACTTGTGTTTTAACGATGGGGCAGCCAAATCAACCCTGATTAACTTCACTAGAGTGGTCCCATCATTTGGCATGCACTTCGCACCTTCAGAGTGTTGTTACAGAATCACCCATCACTTGATGTCCATTTGACTTTTGACAGCGAGGAACTCGAGGCAGCTGATAAATTCACTTACCTTGGCAACTGAAACGGTAACGACGGGCACATAAATGTTGAAGTCAGTTCACGCATTGCAAGCGCTGGGACAACCTTTTTGTATTTGCGACATCTGTTGCGTCAGAAAGGGATTACCGTCCGTCTAAAAGGCCGTGTTTACAAGACCACAGCGAGGGCCGTCCTACTCTATATGAGTGACTTGGCCCCTTCCATCTGAGGACCTGCAATGTCTTTAAGTCTTTGATTATGATTGCCTGCGAAGCACTGTTGGTGTCGGGTGGTACCACCAGATCCACAACGATGGTGTGCGTAGGCGAGTGCTAGGCAGTGATAATCATGTAGTTCCTCAGAAGAAAAGATAGCACTGAGCACCGCTTACCTAGAAGTGCCTTGTTTTGTTTACCAGATGTAGGATAGTGCAAGGTTCAAGGTGGACAAAAGCTAACCTGGCAGAGAGAAATGCAAACAATGACGGTCAACCTCGGTGCCGTCTCGCCTTCCAAGCTGGAGTCCACGTGAATCGCCTTGTGCTTGGCTAGAGACGTTACAGGACATGGCTTGCAGTCGACACCAGTGGCGTGCCTGCTTTCGTCTCCTAGTGGGACTGGCGGTTTAAAGTGTTTGGTGCGTAGTTATTTGCGGGGTAATGGCTGATTATGACGCGGGACAGTGAAAGCCACAATGAAGCTGTCTCACCGATGCCGCTTTATTTTTACATGAGGGCCAGCTGTTTGTTGACACAAGGTGTAGGCGCCTTGACTGAGAATGTTTGTTTAGGTCATTAAAGTTTTACGCTAGGTCTAGCCCTCTCTCTCTTATCATTCGTCATGCTGTAAGTCACCGTGATTGTAAGGCAACGAAGCAACAATTCAGATGACTGATTTACTGCTGTTGATGGTGATAACCCGGTAATGAATGTGCCATGTAATACTGACTAGCTCCTTCTCAAACCGTGAGCAAGGAATATCCAAAGAATTTTCCTAACTGGGAAGTGAAAACTTCCAGATCGTATAACATCATTGCTTATTTAAAGGGCCAATCGTCAACCTGCAAGTGTACACACTTTTCCAGCGGTACAGCATGCACTTGTGTATTGTGCATACATTCGACCACCTACTATCAATTCTGATATTTCAGACATAAAATCACGACGGATTCAGTTAGGGAAGAGATGTTCCACACCCCCAACAAACGCACAAAAGAACTAAACCACCCTTCTAGTTTGTCGCTGCAATAGGCGCCACAAAGGTGTATCCACAGTCCAGACGTCTGTTTGGAAAGACAGGTGGTACCACTTTAATAATACTCCGGAAATGATATTGTCAGAGTAGACACCTCCAATAGGGTAGTCGTCAATGAGACGAGATGTATGAATCCAGTGACATTTTTACTGAGAATGATGGAGGCGACGCAAAAGATTTCAGCGCCAACAATGTATCAGAATCCCCCAAATAGTGAGGGAATCAATGACGGAGAATTCGGTCCAGGAAGGAAGTAATGCTTTGAGGGCTATTGGTATCCGCTTTCAAGCAAAAAGTAGGCAGAAAAATATAGCAAAAATGTAAAGGGAGAAAGGGCGTAATATATACGAGAAATACAGACGATTGGTCAAGGACGCAAAACAAGTCCAGATTGCTGCTAAATTGAAATTGAACCGTAAAGTGCTGTGGCTGTTTGTATGTTCCTTGTACACTTTCTGTTGAGTGACACTTCTCAAGTACCTCCAGGTCCCAGTTTGGATAAACTAGATCAAACAAATGTTCAACATAGAGAGAGAGGGCGAAATCGATGGTCCACTTTAGTTAAAAGTCAGACACGGGGAAAGTGACAACGCAGTGTGGGCTAAGTACGAGGGATCGGGACAGCACGGATGCCGCGGGATGTTTCTAGTGATAAAAAAAGAAACACTGATGCCCAATGGTTTGTTATAGCCCGCTCCGAGCCATGCTCTTTAGTGAACAAGTTGCAATCCCACCAAAATAATATGCCCTAATGCAGGGTCGCAGGTGTAGTGGTACGGTGCAACACTGAGCAGGCTGGTTGTTTATTGAACGGTCGAGCCTAACGATTTTAGGTGAACAGTATGTAAGCTGGTGGACTGTTTCAGAGGCAAACTGAGGGATAGCACGCAGTGGATTTAGATCGATAGGAACGAAAATCGGATGCTAGTCGAGAATGCAATAACCAGGGCTGTGTTCTACCTCTGTGAGCGATACCAACTGATGCGAGATATAGAATGAGCTCGTGTTCTATGACTAATAGATTTCTGATCGAGACCAAGACTTCAGTTTTGGATTCACGGAAAGTACCACGACAGCAAAGGTATCATTTATTATGGTCAAACGATACAATGCCACCGTTCGGACGGTGCTGCTATATGGCAATGAGTCATGGCCTGTTCGCGTAGATGATATGTGCCGACACTCGGCCTTCGATAATGGGTGCTTGAAGAGAGGTACTCGTGTGTGGTGGCAACAAGGTCTCAACAAAGGTGAAATCAGACGTCGTGTCATGGAAACGCGAGTATTTCCTCAGCAAGCTGGTTTTACCGCACCAATTAAGATGGCTCGGTCACGTTTTGTGTATGCCAACTGTGCGTTTGCCCTATCGCGCTTTGTTCCCTCGTATATGACTACAAAGGAAGAGACCACACGGTGGTGAAATACATACACGACGACAAAATATGAGATCAGTGACTTCAAGTCTTGCAGCCGTTAAAACGAAGGGTACGGATGCTAGAAACAATACAGGAAATGGCGCGTAATCGAAAAAGTGGTAGATCTGTACATATACTTGTTAAGATCTAGATTCTTAACGCCAAACAATTAAAAAAGATTAAAAAGAAAAAAACGGCGTGTGAAAAATAGATGTATCATTCTTTCTGCTGCCCAAGAGCTGAAGTGCATTGCTTACTCTCGACAAATGTGCCATAATGATGATGATGCGGCTACTTTACCTGTCACCCGCTGATTTTCATGGTTTTGTTTGTCTTTTATGTTTATATATTAGACTGCTGATATATATATATATATATATATATATATATATATATATATATATATATATATATATCGTTGGCGGCATCCGGTTTCGGATTTGACTGTCACTGTGGCAAGCTACAGGACGCCTGCGCCTACAGAGGGACCATGGATGGCTTGCGCTGTACCACCCACGGCTCCAACCACATACCCCATATCCAGTGTAAACCCGAAGGAATAAGACCGGGAGGCATGCGGATGGCAGCCACGTTTCATCAACGGAGCCGGCCCACACTCCTTCACAGGCAAACACAAGCACACTGTATTTGGGAATCAAGTA